GTTGAGCAGGCTTATAGGGCGAAAGTCCTTAAGCCCCTCAGCTCCCCCCACCTTCGGTTTCAGGGCAATAGAGGTGGCGTTGATGGCCAGTGTAAGACCCCCCTATGGCCGAAAGGTTTCCCAGAAGATTTTAAACGGAGCTATGGGGAAACTGCCGGGGCCAGAAGCTTTATCCATACCTAAATCTTCTATGGCTTGTAGAATTTCCTCTTCAAAAAAAGGCCACTCCAGCCACATAGCCTTGGCTTCCATAAGAGAAAGGAAACCTAAGTCCACCATTACAGGTCTAGGACCTGAACAGGCTGAGTAGAGAGCCTGGAAGTAGTTAATGATCACCTATTCAATCTCGTCCGACCGAAACCGATAACTGTTGTTGACTTTGATAGTCAAAATGGTGTTGTGTCTACTGCGACAGTTAGCTATCCGATGGAAGAATCGTGTATTCTGGTCACCCACTATGAGCCAGTTCACTCTAGATCTCTGGAACCAGTAGAGTTCTTATTTTTTTAGAGAGGAGAAATATTCCATCTTTTTCTGGGTTCTCAGGTGAAGCTCAACCTCTGTCAAAGGGCGAGACTCCTCGATACTATCTAAATCCAGAATGGATTTGAGGAGAGATTCCTTAATTTGGCCATAATTCCTTGGACTAGAATTATGCCACCTCCTCAAGGAAGCTTTGAAGAGTTGGATTTTGGTTTGGAGCCTATACCCTGCTCTTCCCGAGACCTGGCTAGAGAAAGAATTCCACCAGGCTGGAATGAGAGTGAGTAAAGACTTTTCTTCAACCCAAGCTAATTCAAAACAGAAAGGTTTAGGACCTCTACTAAGAGCTTGAGTATCGAGAAGAATAGGGCAATGATCTGAAGTGGGTTTGGGTAAGGCCAAGGCATGGGATTCTGTAAAGGTTTCCTCCCAGTGAACAGAAAGAAGGAATCTATCAAGTTTGGATAGGGAAGGTTGGCGGGAGTGGTTGGACAAAGTATAGCGGCTACCCTGAAGAGGTATATCTAGGAATTCAAGATGAAATCCGAGAAATTGTTCATACCCTGTGAGATGGAGAGGTTAGAGTTTCTCTCATGAGACCATCTAGTTATATTGAAATCCCCTCCTAGACACCAGACGGGATGGGGTAGGGTAGTCAAAGTGTCCAACTCCACCCATCGACGAGGTCTAAGGGCAGTAGAGCATGGACCGTAGATAGCTGAAAATTTCCACGGTAACCCGTCGAAGACACGTGAAAGGAGTATGGTAACAACGAAGACCCCAATGTGGGAGGAGAAAAGAAGATGTTCAGAAGCGTTCCAGACAACCCAAATGCCCCCTGAAGCCCCTTCTGCCGGTAGTGCAACCCATTGACATGGTCGTCTACCCCATACCTGGTGAATTTGTAGAAGGGTGGGCTCTGGTAGCCTGGTTTCATTAAGGGCTAGGACAGCCGGAAGGTGTTTGGACGTCAAGTCCTTCACTGCGTCCCTCTTTGAAGATTGTCCCAATCCTCTTATTTTCCAGGAAATAATCTTAATTGCTTAGGGTTTTGAAGAGGAGGGAGGTGCCAGTCTGGGCGATCTCCTCGAAAAGGACGGAGAGGCAGTAGTAGGGGGGGTGAGCAGCTAGGGAGACATCATAAGAGACAGAAGAGAAGAGGCAGAGGAGTTCTCTATGACCTTTGATACTCACCTTCATGCGACTCTGAGCATCCAATTGGAGGAAAAGATGAACAGGATCTTCAGAGCCATCGCAATGGAAGACCATAACTCCAAAGATTTCTTGCATTCTGGTCCTATCCATGTCGTTCCCATCCCCGTCAACCCCCTTGACCGTACCCGAAGGGGAAGAGATGGGTGTATCCTTATCTTCATCTCATCGTCTTGTTGTATTCCATCCCTGTCGACCCTCTCAGCCCCGAAGACCGTCGAGAGGGCAGAGATGGAGGTGGTTGGTTCCTCGGTCAACCTCGAGCGCTGATCAAGGACTGATGGGTAGAGGTCAAGGGGAAGGTTAGGAAGTGGTTCAAAAGGGCAGGGCAGCGAGGCTAAGAAAGAACAAGGAGGAGCTGAGGGGGCGGAGCTAGCAGAAATCATAATCGAGGGAGAACGGAGAGAAGACGGAGGTCAAGAGGGTCTAGCAAGGGGTAAAGAGGGAGAAGACGAGCGGAAGGCATTGACAAGAGGGAGGGGGAAAAGGGCTTAGCACGCTAATCATGGGACGCCGTCGAAAAGGAGGGGTTACGAGGACATGGTAAGCAGAGCCAAGCGAGAGAGGGGAGGACAGGGTCGCCGAGAAGGGAGAGCAGGGTAAAGAAAGGAATTAGCAGTATTCAGTGTCGATCAAGGTAGAAGACGGTCCCAGGTACAAAGAAGGCTGATTGAAATGGATAACCCTGATCCTGCTCATTTGGACCAGATAGGGGGAGAGGTAGAGGTGATGATGAGGGCACGATTTAGAGGGTGAAAGAAGCCGGGAAGGTGGCCGGGCAACGGAAGCACTCTTTGTCGTAGAAGAGGGAGGCCGACGAAGTCCCCTCCTTCCAAGGCCCTTGCGAGTCAACGCCTATTGGAGGGCCCGCAGTACGTTTGGTCCCTCGAGGCCGAGTATGAGCCCGAACCAACGGACCTGCCTTGCGCGACTGATGGCAACGCCACCTGTGGTGGCGGTGCTTCCGTTTGACTACTGTCCAAGCCAAGGTAGGGGGCCCTTGAGGCTACGAATAGACCAACTGGTTGAAAATATGCGGAGAGGGGGGAGAAGCCGATGACCGCGACAGAGACACCTGGAAGTAGGCGTCGTCGACCTCCAACCAACGCAAGAAGGAATGAAGTTGGTGCCCAACACCTCTAACAGAAGTTGCATGGAACCAAGAGGAAGAGTCTCAAGTGATTTCCAATGAATCGAAACTAGAGTACCACACAACTCAACCACTTTCCTGAAAGTGGATGGAGACCACACATGAAGGGCAACATGGTCAAGGGTGAGCCAGACTCACTGCTTCCTAAAAACTCTTTCTTTCAAGGACCACACTCTCAGCTTGCACGAAGCACCTTTGAAGATAGCGGAAGGCAGCTCTTATAAGGCCCTCAAGGCAATGTCAAGGGATGAGAAGGAGAAGAGATAATCACTTCCCCCCAGGTGCGCTTTACCCAACCCTCTATCCCTCTGACATCAAAGTGTTTGGGATGAAAACTTCCCACCAAACTCGAGGCTAATTTGTTTGCTAGAAGCTTTGACTCATAAGAGGTAGAAACAATACAAGGTAGAAAGGGAAGGGAGCGATGGTCGGGGTCTTACAAGTCGGGGGTGGATCAGTGGAAGTGTCCTTTGGTTTGGTACCTGAGGCTACACTTGGGCGTAAGAAGCTTTGGGAGGCAACTTGGTCGGATCCGATCGAATGTCGTCTTCCCTGGGAGAAGGGTGAGGGCCGCCTAGACGAGAATGCTAACGCCTCGAAAGAAGATAGCGAGAAGAGGGGTAGAGGTCGTAGATCTGCTCCCAATCAAATTGCCAGGAGGAAAAGTGAGAGGAGAGGGAGCGAAGAGGGCGTAGGGGGCAGAGCAAACGCAAAGGATGGTGATGATGAGGACCCATCCAGGTGAACCTGATTCATGGGAAACCTGACAAACTGAAAAAGGTTCTTCCGACAAACGCTTTTTTAATAGAAAGAACCATGTGACACAAAAGTATTCTTTTTGAGAACCTTGCTCTTGGAGCCTGAGATCTAAGACCTAGCTGCATCACAAATTAGAGGGAAAACCAGGAGAAACCATGAAGACGGAGGTCATGTTATAGTGTTGAACACCATGAGAGAGAGAGAGAGAGGGAGAGAGGCGTGGGTGAGAGAGAAGATAGAGGCATGGGGGAGAGAGGAGTTAGAGAAAGAAAGATCCCTTTATTTTTTTATTTTTTTATTTACTATTCACAAATACTATTCATGTAGTGTTTTAGCTACTGTTCACATGTTAGTATTCATGCATTACTGTTCACATGTTACTGTGCACGTGTTACCTTCAGGTGTTACTATTCACATGATACTATTCATATGTTAGTATTCATGCATTACTGTTCACAGGGCATCTTTTCGAATTTCGGTATTGGTTTAGGGGTATTTTAGAGTATCAAATATTTACTTGAATCTCAAGTTAAATTAGGGTTACATAGGTTTATAAAAGGTTGGATGTCATAGTTTAAGGGAGATGCTATTTGGAATAAATTTTATTTTATGAAAGAAGAAAGTCTTCTACTCTTGGTTTGATTTACAGCCATGTTCTTTCTCTCTTCTTGTTGATTTTACTATTTAGGAGAACAGTGGATTCAAATTTAGGAGAACAGTGGATTCAAATTCTCATCTTTCCTTCTTGCATCAAACCACCTTGCAGGATGAACTTGCTAGTGCCTCCCCATTTGTCACCAATATCTAAGCCATCAACTGACCTCAAGAAATCATTCGTTTATAATAATACACCAAAAATTAAAGTATTAAACAGTATTCTCTCTCTCCGTCCAGTCCATCACCCTTCACCCACAATTGAAAATACATGACTCGCCCACATCTCTATATGTCTCTATGTAAACCTTTTTCCTTTTCCAAACAATCCACAAATATCAAGTACTTTGATTGATTAAGGTTGCTCATGCAACTATAATAATGAATTCATGATCAAGAAAATCTCTAGAAGAAGACCAAGTCTCATTATTAGAAGCAGCATTTGCACGGAGGGAGAAGAAGCTGGCTGTGTGGCATAGCATGGAGACAGCAAATTCTCAAGAGGAATCACTGAAGGCCGTGTCTAGATGAGCAGATACACAAGGCAGACTTATCCACGATGAAGGTAAAATGCCTTTTGACACGAGGGCAGCGTCACCTTTATGTGCTTATTATTTTGCACAAACACGTAAGAACACTTATGATATCAGTGGTGAAAAGCACAAGACCAAACAGCCTGCACATATAAGACTGCTGAGTTGGGGTGGTAAGACATTCAAACAGGGCCTAAGAATCACCATACATGGGAGCAGGATTGGCATGCCTAGAGAAGAAACTGGCTTCCAAGGACTTGTCGTCTACAACAACGAATTTAGCAAGTGATAAACCCTTACAGCTGAAAGAACAGAAAAGAACAAGATAAACATAATGCTACTATAAGTATATCTTGCATATGTGAGAGAGTAAGTGATGTATATGATGCTAAAAGATGGTCAAGATCGAGCAATTCAAAACATACTTGAAAAAGATACATGTGAGATTTGCCTAAAGAACTGAAAACCCAGCACAAATCAAGTGATGCCTATCCATGCAACACTTTGGACCAATATCACTATGAAAAAAACAAAACATAGAATCATGAAGAGAAACAAATTATACTACTCATGACTCACTTGAGCGTAGCTTCAGCACTCTCTATGGTAATTTGATCATCTGTAGCATCGCGATTTAAGATTCCCAAGTCAAAATACTTAATATTCAAGTCCAGGTATGGATAGATAAGCTGCATAAATATTCGGTAAAATGAATATTAAATGCACAAACCTGTATATCTTACACTAGACAAGTAAAAATAAGTCAATATTCCAAAACATAAATAAAAATCAGCAAAACTATAATGAGTGCATTCTAAGTACATAAGACAAAGTACAATTGACGCCTATAAACATGTGTATCACTTGCATACACGGCAAATGACAATTAATACAAGCAAAAACTAGCATATTTACAATAGCCATCTTGGAGAAAAGAGTTCAGTACACACAATGAGAATAAAATAAACCACAAATAGAATGGGTAATGGAGAGAATGAGGTTTCAGACAAATATATCATCTGGTCGAGCTTAGATGCAAGTTCGCTATCGGATTTAGCATGAGTTGCTCATGAGCAAATGATTTGTTAAGAGATTACCTTGATGGGGTCGTGGTGGTTTCGTATCCTCAATATGGAGGGCCCTTTGGGGATGGAACTATAAGTTCTTGTTAGCTTTGGAGAAGGGTCATTTTTGTTCATTTCATGTGTATGTCCTGATAGGATTACTTTGGCCTGGGGATAGGTGGTCTCTTCCAACAGATCCTTCATGTACAAAAGATAAATGGTTCCAAGAGGAAGATACAGTTTGACTTGAAAGAAATGAGCTAGAATAGGGACCATACAGACAGTAGCCAATTGGAAGGGCCACAAGATATGTCCCGACTCCTAAAAGTGATATGTCCCAACTCCTAAATGAGGCTTCAAAGGGGTAAAACAACCATGAATATGTCAACCCAACAATTAACAGGATTAAAGATCAGAGCTACATCCGTACAAAAAACAGCAGTTGACTTCATCTTGACAAACTCAAAAAACCCTTATAAGGGCAAATGAGCTCCGCTATTCCTCACGCCCTCCCCATATGGATCAAACAGTCTAACCCTCCATCACAACTAGTATAAAGACACCACACCTTGTAGGAGTGCACAACTCTCAGGGATCACACAATGCCCCACCACAATCAGTTACTACCAAAATATACTTAAGCCAGCTGCCAGCATCGATGTCTCCAAATTACTCAGAAATAGCCCAATGAGTGGTAATCTTCTTTCACGACTCACCAAATACATGCAGTGGCTCTTGTCCCTTGTTGGTTAAAAAATAAAAGACAGGAAAAAAATTCACTACTCCAAGCACAACAAATTTTGCAACTTCGACTATAGTGAATTGAGGAAGCTTACAAAGGAGGGAAAGATTTTCTAATATACGTGCGATGCCTCTACTTCAACAACTGTTCATGGTGAGCATGGATTTCCTTACTTGGAAATACTTTATCGGTAGTCAAGATACACCAACTAACATCATTTTAATATCTCAAAATCATGACACCTTCCTGATCAAAGCACAAAGAGCACAGGAATACATTATTCCATAATAAGCAAACCAAAAAAAAACCAACTAATCAATGGTTTCCTGAGAGTATTCATTGGAAGGATTCTTTGCCTTTTACGTAAAAATTAGTAAAGGATACATCAGTCATTTAATTCAACTTTCGAAAGACAAAAAAGGTTTGCCCGAACCAAAATAGAAATACCTCTATAAGTGTAGAGGTTTTAATACAAAGGAACATTTTCCAATATATTCAGTGTGCCATGTAATTCAAAATTTGGTATCTGGAAATTAATACACAAAATGCCTAACCACCACAGGGGGAAGGGGAAGAGGGGGGCGCTAATCATGGGACCGTCCAAGACACAGCTTCCAGTTTTTAAGGACCATAGTAAAAGAAAGTATACAACTAACATTTATGAATCATCAGCAAAAAAACAGTCCATTTCATCATATAGCATAGATGAGAAAACAGCTAAGGTGGCTAATAGCTCCATATGAAAAGAAGCCTTTTTTTCCGAAATATATGCAATGAATTCTAATAGCTCCGCATTTACTTCTTAAATGTTTATGGGACATTTATGGCTGTGGAAGAATAGGCTTCCCCTGCTTGTTGCCTTCGTACGGAAAGATGCTCAGAAGTTGAGTCAGAAGCGATGTCTTGTATACGGAAAATTAAAGAGTTTGTCCACTTCTATCTTATTTCAAAAAACGTTATGCATTTGGCAACATCAAGTCAGCCAGAAGAAGAGGAAGTAGATGGCCTTGGTAGAGAATGGTTCACACTTTTAAACTGGGTTTTGATACAGTAAAGACAACCCTGTTCTGCACTTGTTTCATACGTCTAAAGAAGAGCAGCAAATTCACTATACCATGTTGAACTCCCAAACATAAATATCTAAAACTCTTTCTAAACTATAAATTTGAAAAGGAAAATATTGCACTGAATTATTGGGATAAAACATTTTGAATATCAATATCTTGATCTACGGGAATAAAAAAAAACAATATTTACACATCAAATAAAAATTACAAGAGAACATCACTATTTCACAGTATAATAACCATACCAATGATATTTCTATAATATTAAATCAAATCAGGTACATAAGATTCTTGATTTAACCATTCTAAATAAAAAATAGAACTCCAAGAAAAATGAAAGTTTCAATCAAACAACCAGGAAGACGCATATTATCTTCCAAAAAGAGATGCACCATTATCCATTTTATTGTAAGCCCAAAACAAATAAACAACCCAATCATAAACTTTCTTTTTGACGAAATACCTTATCCTTAATCATTTTCCATATGACCCTGGTCATCTCGTCCCCTGCAAATAAAAAACAACAATGCAGAAACATGAGATATCTGAAATTTTTGAAGTGTTTATACATATTAACACCAAAGTTTGAGATATCTGAAAATTCGTAAGAATTACCATCCATTTCCACGATTGGGTTCTGAACTTTTATCCTGTCAATTGTCGCGGTCTGAGCAAAGCAGTGAACAGAACATTTAGAGAGAGAAAGTGAAGACGGGTTTCCAAGGAAGGCACCATGAAAGCTGCTCCCCTGAAGAGGAGAGCGGCTAAGGGAAGAACGAGAATAGGAAGATGGGTTTTTGGGAAGGCCACCATGAAAATTTCTCTTACGAAGAAGAGAGACATTAGCAGAGGAATGGGGAGTGAGAAAAAAGGCGGAAGAAGACATGGCGCCCTTCAAGCAAGAGGAGCTCCTAAGCATTCCTCCTGCTTAAAGAAGAAGGTTGCTAAATCACACAGGCGTCGATAAAAACCAGAAAACCCTATTTTCGCAACACGGACGAAAGAGAGGCCGCGCAACTGCGACCGCCTTTGAAAAGAGGAATGTAAAGCTGTTCCTAATGTTTCACGCGACCTTTCTTTCCGTACTCGGGTCACCGTACCCAGCCCATCGATCCGGTGCTGCGAATCATTCGGGTCGGAAACTTCTATTAGAAAAAAAAAAAATTATACAATAAGTCTATTTATTTTTTGTACAAGGTGGTTATAATTAATCTTAACCATTGGATGTGATATTGAGTGGCTGCATTTATTTTATTGACCAAGCTCAAAATTCAAAATAAATTTTCTCAAACTTTGTGATATACCCGACGATTCAAAAGTAATTATTATCATTTTTTTTTTTTTTAGGTTTGTATGTAATGAGACCATTTACCTTTTGTATTAAGAGATAACAATTACTGATAACCACCTGATGTGATTAGAACCGTCCATTTAATCGGGAACTCATACACCACATTTTCCTTTGTACATTCTATTTCTATTGGATTTCTTGACAATTTTTAATTCATACTACTGAAGGGTCGTGCATTTTCAGATAGTTCTTATCCCTACCATTTTAGGTGGATTTAGCTTAAAATAGGTGACTTGGTGAATATTTAATCAATATTTAGGTGTATTATGGTTTGGGGAAGACTATGATTCGGTGTAGATAACAGTGTATCAAGTAGTATAGTCCCTAATGGTCAACTGAGCTAACCCAAGGTTGTTTTCTATGGTTTTTAAGGTCATTTCCTATGGCTTTAAGGCTTAGGAACCTAAGAATAAGGTCAATTTCAAAAAGGGCGTTTGCAGTTGCCTCTCTTGGGCCCTCCCTATTCTTCATGGTGTAGGAGGCTACAAAGAAGTAGACACTTGTGACTCAAGCACTTGAAACCAGAGAACCAATGGCCGAGGATGGTGGTCCCACCAGCAATACATTAACTATCATCCCCTAAGTTGTCTACCAAAGGAATTTGCATCTTAGGGCTTTAGTGGATTGAATATTGTCGGTATGTTTCCACCAGTTGGGTACAACAGGGTTTGGGACCTATCTTGCGGCAAGATCAGAACATAAATCCGCTCTTCACGAGTTTATTTATGAGGTGATCGGATCTCACATTAAAGATCAAACCCTTTGTGGATCATCGCAGTGTCAGTTTGTAAATGACATCAAAGTCTAAAAATGAATAATATAACTCTTGAGAATGACATAAACAAAGCACAAACTAGTAAAATAATGACACTGAAGGATCATGATGAAATAAAGTAATGAAACTTGTGAACCGGCCTGGGCCTCGCAGCACGGCATCTGGAGTAGAGGCCTTGATCAGAGCTTAAATTGATTGAATAAACTACTTTTGATAAAATAAATGACTGTTCTGATCTTCGAACGAAGTGGGTTGAAGAGGAATCTAGGATTTTGAAGATTTAATGTCTTATGTAAAGAAAATAAAGAAAAGATGAAAGTTTTTCTTCTCTGAAATAGGTGGCCATGGCTACTGGAAAACTAGGCTTTTTAAGGCTCTTAGTCTAAGGTTTCATGAGGACTAGGGTTAGAGTTAGGCTAGACTAGGGAATTAGGGTTTCTTGGAAATGTGAGACCTCTTCCCCCCATAGGGGTAAAAAGTGAGTTTTTATAAACAAAAATGACAAAAATTTGGAAGGTGGTTGTTTGGAGCAATCAAGGGCTGACAACTATTCGCATCATGAGTTCTGGCACTGATCTGATGTACAGCGTGCCAAAAGTTCTGCTGCAACGGGCAATCGACTCAGTTTGGCATAAATTTCTTTGGGATTGTGATTTTAATGGTTAAAACTTGCTATTTTAGGTCACAATTTACACGGTTTGGTAGTGACATCATATCATCCTTCCAACCTACTCACAAGCTTGCCATATGTAGTCCAAGGTCTCTTAAAATGGATTTTTCATGGGATCTTAAAAAATCTGAGAGATATTCTAGCCTATATAATGGTCTAGACATAATTGTGTTTAATGTGTCCTATGGTGTACTAGGCTAGTGTGGTCCTTAGGGTTTAAATAGTTTATCTAAATCTTTTTCTTATGCATTTAGGGGCTATTGGATACTTGGAAATATATTGTCTATGAAATATATTACTGGCATAATACATTACTGCGTAATACATTGCCTGTAAATGGATTGTTACTGTTTGGATAGTATTTAGATGCAACCTAGGAAATACATTGTTATTGTTTGCCTATGTCTGGAAGAAATATAGGAAATGCATTATCAACATTTTACCAGCACGTGCTTATAAACTATGATTTCTTTATTTTTTGTCACAAAATTCTACTAAAATATAGAATTATCATTTCTTTCTTCTTTGTCACAAAATTCCACTAAAATACGGAATTAAAATCATCATCACACCATTCCAAAAAGATTTCTAATAATAACATCATCACCATTCCAAAAATATTTTCTAATAATTTGTACCATTTTACAGTCATCATGACACCATTTCCTACTTATTTTACATGCCTTTGGCGCTTACATGGAATCACATGTTTACTAATATGACATCGGTTTCAACATGATAAGTCATTGGAAAAATATAATTGGAATAACATGATTTTATTATGATAGTCCTTATTTTTATTTATTTTTAATAGAAGTGTTTCAAATGTCTCTCTATATAATTTCAAATAAACAATAAATTTATGATACTAAATTCAAAATCTTTATGGTACGAGTTAAAAAATAGGAAGAAGTTTGATTAGTAAACTAGAAGATTTGGTAATTGCAGTATAAAATTTTGAGGTATTGGAAGAGACTAAAGACGTATGTTATTTCAATTGAGATTTTAGTAATCTCTTATGAGGATTATGTTGTGTGAAATTTTTTATTATGATTGTGTAGTGTAATTTATTATTGATTACTATTTTTTATTATTATTTTTTTTGTTTTTATATGACAGATGATGCCTTCAGATGAGGAGATAACCTTAAAAAGGGAGGGATCACCTATGCTAATTACTATGAATAGAGAGGGTTTACCAGAGAAGATTTTTTTTCAATGAGGGATAGGGTAGGGAAAGACCCACACCAAAGATTTTCCAAAATTACCCGTCACTTCCATAATAGATTTTTCATCTATTACTACTCTAATATCTTTCCATTTCCTTACGTTTGCGTTTGGATACCTGGAAATATATTGTCTGTGAAATATATTATCGGCGTAATATATTACCGCGTAATACATTACCTATAGGGCCGTTTGGATACCTGGAAATATATTGTCTGTTAAATATATTGCTGGCGTAATACATTACCTGTAAATAGATTGTTACTGTTTGGATAGTATTTAGATGCAACTTGTGAAATACCTTGTTATTGTTTGGCTATGTCAGGAAGAAATATAGGAAATACATTACCAACATTTTACTAGTACGTGCCTATAAACTATCATTTCTTTCTTTCTTGTCACAAAATATTACTAAAATGCATAATTATCATTTCTTTCTTTTTTGTCACAAAAATCCACTAACTGAATTAAAATCATCATCACACCATTCCAAAAAGATTTCTAATAATAACATTCTTACCATTTCAAAAAGCTTTTTTAATAATAACTTGTACCATTTTACAGTCATGACACTATTTCTTACTTATTTAAGTGCCTTTGGGACTTATATGCAATCACATGTTTTCTAAACATTGGTTTCAACATGATAAGTCATTGGAATGATATGATTGGAATAACATGATTTCATTATGATAAGTCTTATTTTTATTTATTTTTTTATAGAAGTCTTTCAAATGTCTCTCTATATCAAATAAACAATAAAATTATCATACTGAATTCAAAATCTGTAGAGTACGAGTTAAAAAATATAAAGAAGTTAGATTGGTAAATTAGAAGGTTTTGTACTTGCAGTATAAAATTTTGAGGTATTGGAGGAGATTAAAGAGGTATGTTATTTCAATTGAGATTTTAGTAATCTCTTATGAGGATTATGTTATGTGAAATTTTTGTTTTGTAATTTATCATTTATTACTGATTTTTATTTTTATTATTTTTATTTTTATATGACATTGATGCCATGAGGGGACGAGCTTAAAAAGGGAGGGATCACATTATATTGTGTGACATTTTTATTATGATTGTGTTGTGTAATTTATCATTTCTTACTAATTTTTATTTTTATTATTTTTGTTTTTATATGACAGTTGATGCCTTTAGATAAGGGGACAAGCTTGAAAAGGGAAGGATCACCTAGTTATTATGAAGAGGGAGGGCCTAGAAGATGTTTTTATGCGGGATAGGGTAGAGGGCCTAGAAGATGTTTTTATGCGGGATAGGGTAGAGGGCCTAGAAGATGTTTTTATGCGGGATAGGGTAGGCAACAAAGTGCAAAAGATTTCCCAAAATTACTCATCACTCTCGTAATAGATTTTTCACCTATCACCGCGTGTAATGAATTTCCTGATTTTTTTGGGAAATATCGTAATCACTTTCCATTTTCTTACTATTAAGTGCACCCAAACAGTTGAAATACTATATTTCTTGGTAATCTATTATCACGTAATAGATTTCCAGGTACGCACACGGCTGTATACCCAAACGGTGGAAATGTTATATTTCCTTGTAATCTATTGTCACGTAATAGATTTCCAAGTACCCAAGCGTCCCGTGTATCCAAACAGTAGAAATGATATATTTCCTCGTAATCTATTGTCACGTAATAGATTTTCAGGTACCCAAACGGCCCCTTAGAGATCATTTCATATGCTTTGAGACCTGAGATTTAAGGACCTGTTTGGTTACCTAGAAATGAGACTCTTGGGGAAATGTGTATCCTAGAATTGGTATCTCTTGGAATTAGCATTTCTTGGAAGATGGGTGTATGTTGTTTAAAACTTTAGATAGTATCTGGCATAGACATGGAAGATGCATCTTCACTGTTTGGATTGCTTGGAAGATATATCTTTAGTAAATTCAAAATTTTTCATTGTATGGTTATTTTCTTAAAAAATAACCACCATCAATGTTGTGATTATTGTACTTAAGAATTTCTTAAGTC